AGCCTCCTGTCTGCTTACCATATGGAGTTCCTGAGGCAGCTAAGTCAAGGCCCGCATTTTCGGAAACGGAATCAGTAGCAGTCCCATTATTATGAGCGCTGTTTGTGGAAGAACCTGAAGAGGTCACTTTAGTCGATAAATTGGGGAAACGAGGTGTGTCGAGAAGAGGTGAGACGGCAAGAAATGCGAAGGCTCGAAGACAGTCAAGCCCAGGGTAGTTGGTACGAGCTTTACTTAGCACATTATCTATCAGGAGATTTATAATGCGCCGAATATCTGTCGGAGGCAGACGGCGGAAAAGTTCATTTTGCAGTTGAAAAGCCATGTCTAGCTCCATGCCGATCTCGTTACGTCCAGTGTGGAAATGACTGTGATTTTCACTGACAAAATGGATGATGTAGGTGATGATTGTGAAGAAGTTTATGAGACTTAATACATATAACTTTTTAGTTTAATAAGAAAGATAAAGGAGGGTTAAGATAGACGACCCAATGCATCAAATAACACTATGCTATAAACATAAGTGTGAGGTTCCTTCGACAAAAGCTGAAGGGCAAAACGGCAAGATGCATTATGAATTTAAATCTGTTGAAGGTATGAAGACCAAGATGGTGTGGCCTTTTGTGCGGACGCAATCAAATTTGTTGTATAGAGGTTGTTTGACCTTGTTTTCGCAACATGGTCATATTGGTAGGAAGACTTAGAGGAACGCACCTAATCCGGAGTCCATTGTCTGCATAATCATTTAAAAAGTTGAACCGTGGACGTAGTATATTCCCAAACGTTTCGCCGGCATCGTAGTCGGCATCGTCAGTGAGTCTCGCCATTCTTAGCACCATACAACAACTCGTCAAATAGACAAGTGAAGCCGATCCTTTGACCAAACGTGTGCTAAACAATTATGGTACCTCCTCTTCTGCCCTAAGTAATTCGCGTTTCCAGGAGCATCCTATCATGCCTTCACTATTACTATTTTATCGTGTTTATTTAGATATTGTGGTGTGCTCCTTTGAGCGACATGACACTTTCAAACTCCAACTGTCGTTCTCACCCCTCACTCCCCCTTCATCCTTGTGCAGGGAATGTTGATCAGTCTGCTTTATTATTATGCAGTCCTCTTCCATAGTCTTATCTCAGTCTCTCTCTTGCTTCGTAAAATCCGTTTGCTCTACCCCTTGTTCATCTATTTCACTCGACTCCTGTCATCACATCTGTCCTACTCGAAGCGATATTCGCCCTCACCTGCGTCTGGGTGACTAATTTGAGGTGCAAGCCTCTGAGTGTCATCATCACCCCTTTGCTACATGGACCATGTCTCTGGTACAACAGACCTACCGTCAGCCAACTAGCTCCGGTCCCCGCCGTGTCTATCTTGTTTCTATCCCTAATACCAATTATATCACTTGCTATGCCCTAATCTCTTGTGTGCCAACCCACAAATGTTGTGGTACTGCTTGCTTTGGTTAGGTTTAATGTTGAACCACAACGTTTGTGGGTTGGCTTATTTATGAATTCACAAGCATAAATGAATAATAAGACTAAGTTTAAAGAGGTGATGAATAAGAAATTCGGACAAGCAAGCCATATGTTTTATCCTCCTAAACACAGTCATGTCTAGTATAATTTATCGATGCACAATAATCCTTAATGAAGGTCAATAGGTATACCCATAATCCTATGGGAAGGAGAAGAAGTTTGGAATGCAAATAAAGCCGAAAGCCCATTCGTTTGCGTTGAATATAATTCAAACTATTGTACCGAACTACTATGCACGTAAATGTAGCTCTCACAAACCACTTAAGTATCGTTTAGTTTAATCGTCATGGCATCTACGTAATCAGACCTACTTGTCAACCAAACAGAGAGTAGAGAGACAAGCCAGAGAAGAGAACGTTGTTTCAACTTTGTGGAGAACACCTTCCAGTCCATTCCCAATGGATGCAAGGTTTGACTGAGCTTCTTTATCATTGTTGGCAGTTGCTGAGTGTCCGCATATTGGCATGCGATAGACGTCATCAAGACTCAAAGTGGCAATATCAGCGTATTCGGAGGGCCGCCATATACGCAAGTCTTCAGGAAGTTCACGGCCGTCTACCCGAATAGTGGAAGTGGGGAAACTAAATGACGATCCATGTGAGAATGGTTCATCCAAATTAGGTTCCGCCGAGTCATTATGAATGCAACCAGATGTAGAGGTTGATGATTTGTCATTCATTGACAAGTTAGTCTTAGATGAGATTAGTTGCTGAGTTGATGGGCTTCCCAGCAAAAGTAAAGTTTCTGGCTCG